CTTGCAAAGGCTTCATACAAGAGAAATGCAGGTTTTGCAAGATGATTTTAGATATAATCCAAACAAGAACACACAATTAAATGCATGCATGTTGTCATCTGGGGTATGTAACAGACTTATTCCCTTTTGTTAGGTTGTTCATATCCCCCTTGTTTGGTTCCAGAATGGATGGCATGTGGTCCCCCCTTTTATACCTCCTTGAACACTGACCACCACAAATTAATACCTTAACACATTAACTCAAGTGCTTTCCCTGGGTGTCTGCCATTCATATAACCGAACGCACATGGTCCAGTGCATGGTGGCCATTTTATCTACCGGACACAGGCAGCGGTACATGGTCGTCGAATGCCTGGAAATATTTTCGGCCATGTGAGTCCACAAACCCTGCACCGCTGTTCATACAGCTGACCGTTCTACTTCACGGCCAACTAGACGAACGACGTTCAGGAGATATGAACTACCGACTGGGGGGAGCATTCACTCCCTAAAAGCCAGGGGAAGCTTTAGTCGGTCTCATTCCTCTGGAACTGCGTTGGGCTATCATATCATGGCCTCTCGGACAGAGCATTACTGATCTGAGCACTATTTGGATATGTTGGGCACTCAGATCAGAGCTATTTGGGGATAGGGTTCCTGTGAATTATGACTGTTTTTGGAGTATTTTGTATATAATTATTTAGTTTCCTGTACCTGAGAATTATAACTATAATTGAGTTACTCAGTTTTGACTCAATCAATGAGTCACTTGGGAAGGGCTTGTGTATATTTTGTATGGAGACTCCATGCTGGGGGTCTGTGCATATAAGGCTATTTTTGAGAGAAATAAATCAGTTATACTCCCAGAACTGTGTGTCGTCCATTTACTGGGGAGGGATAGACCTTGTTCCTGTCTTCACGGATCCAACGGAGGAAAAGTTCTTGTCAGGACGAGCACTCTGCTACAGGGTATATCTACTAAACAGTATTTGGGAAGTGGAGTGTCCTGGTTCGTGGCATGTCTTGATTTGAAGTGTGAAAATAACATATTTTGATGAGTGCCGTGCATATGGCCGTCATAGAACAGGCATAATTATGACCAACATAATTTTAAAGTACGATTGACTAGGCCTGTCCAGAGCCCAGAAAGGGCTAAAACAGTGTTAGTAGTGACAGACCGTGAAATAATACAAATTATTAACAGGCAGTACCATAAATGCTAACTTCATGAACAGGCCCGAGTTTTGGGCCTGACATTAATTTAAACAGTCAGTTGGGACACCTAAACAGTGTGGGCCCAATGAGTGCCTGAATACAAAGAGGACAGACAAATAACACATAAATATGTAGGGTGATAAAAGTCGATACGGCCTTAACACAATAAGCAGAACGAGGCATCGCTGTGATACTATGTACAAATGGAATAGGCTGAATTTGCGTTAGTAATGCCTAAAATGACAGGGATGGCTGATGTTTTTTACTAGAATGAGGTAAAACGAATACTTATGTGGGCCACAATAGGCCAAGACCAGCCTGTTTGGAGTTTAGGCAGTTTGTGTTGATGACCTTTGAACCAGAAGTAGATGGTTCTGTACTGAACCAGACAGAAGAAGGGGTGGCATTTATAGGCCGGGTAGCCACTCCCTCAATGACAGGCTCCGCCCACAGGTCCTACCTTTCTATAAATATTAGTGGAGCGCTAAATAAAAAGCCATACTAGTAGATACAAATTATCCTTACCCTTGTAATATATGGCTAGACAGGAACATACACCAGTAGGACATAAAAATACAAACAAAAAGAAGAAATACATAGTGCAGATGGTATTTGCACTTTGTAATATCACTTTGTAATAACTATCCCTGTAAATAATGTGTTTTTTAATTTATTTTTTTATTCTTTATTTTTTCGTGCAATGGGGTTTACAGACAAGCCTGCTGTGCCACGACAGCTGGAACAGGCTAAGTGCAGCAAACATTAACATGACAAGATTTATATGCACATTTATTTTTTTGAAACAGGATGAATACGTATGGTCCGTAATCATAGGTTGAGTAAATTGGCATTTTTGGTAGACGTACTGATGAACAAAAAAAGCTTAAACTTTGACAATAAAAACTATACAGTTGCTTGATAACATAAGATAAAAACGAGAAATGGTCAAAGAAGACATACTTAAAACTGTTAGTGACTTTGGGTAACATGCTGTACGGCTTAGATGCTTAAATGTACCGCTGGGTATGGAGGCAGGGCAGTTGGAGCCGGCAAGCTTTAACAAGACTTAGACTGTTATATATCACATTACTTGTGTGGTAAAATCCGATAGGGTCTGGCGAAACAGGATGGCGAAAGTTTACGTGCTAGGCTTAGTACGGTTGAGCAAGCTTGTGAGGCTTTCTAATTGCTTGTGGCGGGGGGTCATGGGAGGAAGTACTCCTTCCATCTAAACATGTATCTTAACCCCTAAAATAGGTGTGGGAGTTATGGTGCTAAGTTCAGGTAAGAATAGAGGGTGTAAGTTTTATATTATATGCCGGTTAGGTTAGGCTAGTAACATAGTATGTATTGGAGCCATGTGTTTAAGTCCCTCAGGGTCTGGACCATCTTGGTGTCGAGAGCGTATCTCGTTGGATGCTTTTCAGGGTACCTTCCGTGTCATTGCGGCGGCCCTTTGCCGGCAGTGGCGTGTACCTTTAACCTTTGCCGGGCATCTGCCTGTCTCGGTCGGGTGTGTACCGTAACTGTGGTTGGCTGGCGGCCTGGTGCATTTGTTTGTACTCCCCTCCACATGGGTGCCTGTATTCCCGCTGGATAGTTCTTGTGGTTTGTGGCAGGGGGTTGTTTCCAGCCACCAAGCCCCATTGGGGGTCGGTATCCGAAGCCCGGTGCCTTCATTTTCTTTTTGCCAGGTGGGAAAGAGATGGGAGAGCTTGTGGTTTTGGTGCGCTCCCCTCCCCAGCCTCGGCTGATTGCCTGTCTCGGTCGGGTGGCGAGAGGGTTGTTGGGTATCCAGGCGGTGGGTGGCCACGACCGTGGCGTACCTGCTTTTCTTCCTCTCCATTTAAGTGCCGGTAGGCTCTTTGTACCCTTCTTGTTTTTCGTGGTAGGAGGGTGATTTCTGAGGGGCTGTCAGTTTGGAGCCTTAGCCGCTGGAGGGTTCAGTATGTTTAAGGTCTGCACGTGTGGTGTGCTATCGCCTTGTTTCTGCGAGGGTGATATGTGTAGTAGGCGGTTTAATTTTGCCCAAAAGTCCGCAAAGATTTTGTCTAGCATGGTTGCCTGTGTTGAGCTGTGCTGGGCTCATGGCGTCCGTCATCTTAGGTAGGTTGCTGCGTTTTCTATCTTGGGAGGCCTCGGTACAGTCAGGTCTGTCCTAGCGGGAATTCTTCTCAGACCGGGATATCCCCTCCGGTCCAGGGGGGGGGACACGGTGCTCCGGGTGGCGATGTCTACCGTTTACCAGGTGGTTCCCGATGGGAGATTGGCCGCTTCTCCAAGGGATATCAGGCCGCAGGTCGATCAATCTGCCCAATCTGCTGTCGCTTAAGTCTAGCTCGGGTATAGATAGTGAGGGTTTGATGCCATGTTGCGTTGCTTTTTCGTCGAGTTTTTAGGCATACAGTCCCTATTTAGTGTTTTTTTAATGCTTAACTATTGTTTATAAGTTTTCTTCACTTGTATTATACTTGTAACGGACCGTTTTGCACAAAAGGGAAAAAAAACGCTTAGACGATAATCCCCTTTCAGAGACAGGCACAGCTACTGTAGAATCACCAAAACTCACGAACTGAATACAAGTGAATGCTCCAAACTCCCGAACGGCATACAAGGGAATAAGGTAGCACTCCAAATACACGAACAGGAACCATACGAATTACTGCTACCAGACGAACAGGAAAAGCTCCCAAGCGGCTTACACTCCTGGCAATCAGTCCTTAGCAGCATACAGTAAATCCCCCCAAAGACGAGACAAGGCTCCGTGTTGAGGGTCAAGCAGTGGTCTGTTTAATGAGGGCTACCTGCCCAGTATTTATGCAGGTCTCCCACCTGGTGGACACTCCCCTAGGGGACCAGATGGAAGACTGTAACAAAAGACAGACATGTACCAATTACAGACATACAGAAGTAAAACATCCCCACAAGGCATCCTGGCTTCTTCCCCTCTGCCCTGGAGAAGTAATTCAATTATCTCCCAGGACAAAGGCAAAACTCCATTACACATGTGGGGACACAAAACCAGTATTATACTTTAAAATACATAAAGTAACATTTATTACATAAAACACAGACATGTAACATATCCCCAGATAGCTCAGGTCTGAGCGCACATTATTAAGTGAATGGCGCTCAGACCACACAAATACAGTTTAATCGCCATGGAGCCAAAGTCTTTACAGTCAGTTTCATACGAATGGGCTCCATGGGATTCCTATCTGGGGTATAACACATTCAACCAAAACTACCGAACCCCAGGCAGAAAAGCACGAATGAAGCTTTTCTGCAGGTAAAAAAGATGTCTTTTAACAGGGGGCCATAGTCCAAATGCAGCAGGCGAGCAACCAGGCTTCTCCAATGCAATGTGGCGAGATTGGTCTCGTCACAATACTCTTTAAGTTAGTCACTTTTTTAGTGTGGTTCAGAGGGCATTGGACCAGGGTGGCATTTTCCAGGGGGCATTTCCCCAAAATGCCCAGGGCAAATGTCTTGTTAGCCGTGCGGCTAACAGTCCTGGCAGGTGGGCGGTCGGTCGGGCGGGCGGCGCTGGCGAGGGAGCACTTTCCCCTGAGCTGTCTGCTCAGCTCTTTGATATTCCGGCTCCCAGCATCACTCTGCGGCGTGCGAGGGAGCTGAGCAGACAGCTCAGGGGAAAGTGCTCCCTCGCCAGCACCGCCCGCAGCCCTAGGGAAAGGGAACCCCCCCCCCAGCATTCCCAAAGGTAAGGAGGCTTGGGGGGTTGAATTTTTAAAAGAAAAAGTTAGTGTGTTAATGTGTGAGTGAGTGTGTGTGTCTCTTAGTGAGTGTGTGTGTCTGTTAGTGTGTGTGACTGTTAGTGTGTGCACACACACTAACAGACACACACTAACAGACACACACGCACTCACTAACAGACACATTAGTGAGTGTGTGTGTCTGTTAGTGTTTGTGTCTGTTAGTGTGTGTGTCTGTTAGTGAGTGTGTGTGTGTCTGTTAGTGTGTGTGTGTGTGTGTCTGTTAGTGAGTATGTGTGTGTGTCTGTTAGTGTGTATGTGTGTTAGTATGTGTGTCTGTTAGTGAGTGTGTGTGTGTGTCTGTTAGTGTGTGTGTGTATGTGTGTGTCTGTTAGTGAGAGTGTATGCGTGTCTTTTAATGAAACAGTGTGTATGTCGGTTAGCTAGTGTATGGATGTCTGTCAGTGAATGTGTGTGTGTGTATTTAGAAGGCGGGGAAGGGGGGTGGCTTCTGATTCTGAGTGATTTATCGGTTTAGGAAGGAGCTATAACAATGAAATTATAAAAACTTTAGGTCAAAAACACCTCAAATTACTTAAACAGTATAGTAGCAAAAAAAATAATTTGTTAAATGTGAATGTAATGTAAGTGTGACCCAGTTACACATTAAAAGCTCCCAGGATCCAAATCTTTCAAAAAAAATACCATCCATGGAAAAGTGTTTCCGTCTCACTTTGTTCTGTTTGCAGTGTCCTCCCATGTCCTTTGGTGGCCTAAGGATCTGTCTGTTGTCTAAATGTGGACTGTCTGGCATGGCTATTTACATGGCTGGAAGGAACAAAAACCAGTTGGCCATTGGGCCAGTAGGAGAGGGACAGTAACGATGTGCAACGGCATTAGGTCATTACATGGGTAATTTCAAAACTCATGTGAAGAAACCATTTCTCATGACATCAGAGCAATGAAATGAACAGCTTTCTGGAAGCCACCAAGTGAGTGTGAGAGAGGACTAGAAGCTTGGAGCTGCCTTATTGCTTCTCATCTGAGCTTCCTGGAAGCCACCAAGTGAGTGTGAGAGAGGACTAGAAGCTTGGAGCTGCCTTATTGCTTCTCGTCTGAGCTTCCTGGAAGCCACCAAGTGAGTGTGAGAGAGGACTAGAAGCTTGGAGCTGCCTTATTGCTTCTCGTCTGAGCTTCCTGGAAGCCACCAACTGAGTGTAAGAGAGGATTAGAAGCTTGGAGCTGCCTTATTGCTTCTAGTCTGAACTATTGATAAGTTTATCGATACAAGACCCCAAAATGGCACATGCTGGAAACAGCTTTCGTTGGATGTTTTTTTTATTAATGCATGTTTGAGACAGACGGTATATTTTGTTTGTGTGATTTCTTACGTACTAGCGTATATCATACCTTTCAGTGCCGGGAGGCAGCGTTTCCTGCATCCGTAGAAACAACATTTCCACTTCCTTTTACAGTCTCTGTCCGTCAAACATTCTGACTTCTCAAACACTGGATCAATACCACACCTGGGGTAATCCACGTCACGTGGACACAGACTGGTGTCCACTATCATATATTCAGGTTCTAGAATATCAGGGATGGAGATTCCATGGATCAGTTACAATGGTTCAACTTTAAAAAAGAATTCAGTCTACAAGGAAGACTTGTTTGGTTCTAAATTACTTAAAGAATACATACTACATTTAGCCATTTTGGTGCATGGGATATATTCCCACAAACTGGAGCTGTAAGCCTGCACACAGTCGAGTAATATGAAGCGAGAAGCTGAACCTCAGTTATATTGCTGCACCTATGTTTGTATTCGAGTAAATTTTGGGGATTTCACTCAGGTGTGTTTTGATTTTTCACTCTATAGCACTGTGCCTTTGTCGTTCTTCTACATGGTGACCTACCGTCTTTGTTTTACCTCTTAGAACTTACCTGATCTCCTGATATAAAGGTAAAAGGACATAATGACATATAAATTTTATCAGTGGAGCAGACTCATTGTAGAATATAGAGCTGATAGTAGCAATAATATGATATTTATCTTATTTTATACCAGATCTCGGTCACCATACATCATATAGCGCTGCGGAATTTGCTAGCGCTATATAAATAATAATAATAATAATAATAATAATATAGGACTGTGCCCCACCACTGCATTCAAATGAACTCAATACACGTTAACTGGTTCTGATTACGTTATATGTGTCCTTATAAACTCTTTATAGCAACTTTCTTTTATTAGACTAGGAATCCACGATGAAATGCAGCCAAAGTTAAAGGAATTATCAGATGTGATAAATAAGGCACACATCATAGTGCAATATTTAATCATCGTCATTTTACTGTTTACAGCTCTGTTTATTCTAATAATCTCAGTACTCACCACCAAACATGATTCGTGCAGAACCCAACGCATACAGAGTGATCCACAAAACAAGGCACCACAACGCTGAAATCATAATGTTCCCCAACCATTCGCCTGCATGTCTGCCTCAAACACATTGATTCTTGGAACAATGAGAAATGGAAGGATTATCATGACAAGCTAACCAACAGGAACTAGAGAAAGTTTTTTACACATTCTCCTCCAGGCAAAACACAGAGAGAGAGGGAGAGAGAGAGAGACTGAGAGACAGACAAAGAATGTGCTGAGACAGACTGAGAGACAGACAAAGAATGTGCTGAAAAACTCGACTTATACTCGAGTATATAGGGTAAGTGTGTTGTTTAGTTAATAACACAGCATGTGGTCAGTGAGGAATAATAATCAAGAAGTTATTTACATTAAGAAAAATAACTTTTTTCTTAATGTAATTCTTTCAGCTGTTTAGTTGATCGCCCCCTAATTATAAAAACAAATGGATCTGAAATAATTTGTTAAGATGTTTTCCAAATTTTTTTTTCAGCTCATTTCGGTTTGTAAAGAATTAGGAAATTCAAACGCTCCTGAATTGCTAAATCCAGACAATTTCAGAGTAAATTTGATTTGTGTTTATTTTATTACTTTTCGCTGTATTCTAACCCTTGACTCACTGGCTGTTTGTGCATGTACTGTACTGTAGCCCCATGTAGCCGAAGCACAGCTTAGCGGAAAAAGGGCCGTGACAGGGGTTAGGAGGCGGGCTTAGGAGGAAACGGGTGGGTTGTGGGAATATGGGTTTGTCTATTTAAATAGGTAGCCATTTTGGAATGAGCACTTTTAATCTCCTACCTGGTTGAGTTTGTGTGCACTCTGGTGCTCGCAGATTTGCTGGGTAGAGTTTTTTCTTTTGTCTCCTTCTGCAGGGCCATGGACGACGTGGAGAGGCTCCTGGAGGGAATCCGGTCAGCGGCGCGGCAACAGGGAGCGGACTGGGTGTGGGCCTGGCTGGGGCCGATCCTGATGGAGGTGGACGCCCGGCGCGGGCCAGGAGGCCCCCGAGGTGCTTGAGTCCGGGTGCGGGGCCCGAGATTGGCAACACTGGCAGTCAGGAGGTGGCAGGGGGAGGTGGCGGGGGAGGCCGCGGCAGGCTCGGAGGCCGCATGGTCAAGGCCCCGCCTCCAAGTGTGCAGCCTCATGACGGGCGGCTGCCCTGGACATCTGCGGTGCGCCCCGCGGGTCGGATGGGGCGGCGCCTGGAGCGGGCTAGGGTTGCCAGGTGGTACACAGGAGGTGCAAGGAGGGTCCAAGGCTGGGGTGACAGGTGTTGACGCTTGGGGTAAGGCAGCGCCAGGGAATCGGGGGTGTCGTGAGGGCCACTTTCCTGGGCACGGTGGGGAGGAGGCGGGGGGCATGACAGTCCGGGGGCCGAGTATGGGGGGCGGGGGTATGCCAGTCAGGTATGCGAGGGCTCGTGGGACTCATAGGAGGTCACGGCGCCACCGGTCCACATCTGGCAGTTCGGCAGGGGCTAGGTCAGGGTCCCCCAGGCAGAGTCAACGGGGGCGGGCATCTGGGGGGGACGGTAGGAGTCGTAGTCCACGGGGCGGGGCTGTCCAGGCCTCAGGAGCGCAGCAGCAGGGCGGTGAGCGACGGGAGGCCTTGGCAGCAGGCAGGCGCTCCCTGGGTCGGGACGGGAGGGTAGGCGGGGAACAGTACACCCTGCCCAGGACTTCTTCTCCTCGTTTCAGGTCTCAGAGCCGCTCCTCATCAGTGTTCTCAAGGCACCAGGTGGGCTCCCTGGTTGGCGGGATATCAGCGGATGTCGCTCATTCTGGACACGCAGCAGTTAACAGCGCAGCCCAGGGTGCTTCCGGATCGAGTGGCTTGGCCGATGAGTCCAGCGAATCAATACATTACAGCGCATTAGTGCAAACACTACAATCACTACTCCACTCACTGGGGGCAGGGGGTGGTACAAGGGGTGGCGTAGGGCAGGTATGGGCGCAGGGGGTGGTGGTCGCTGGGTCCAGTGACTGGACCTTGGGGGTGTCGGCTTCCAGTGGGGATGCGGGGGCGGCGTCCAGCGTGACGGAGGCGGGGAGCGAGCGGGCTTTGTTAACTGGGGGGGTGCCGGACACAGCGAGGCAGCATGCATACGTGTCGTTCGCTGGCCTGCTTGGGGTTCACCTCAAGCAGGAGGAGAAGGAAAAAAATTTGGAAAGGGGAATTCTGCGAGATCTTTTCCCTTCTCCCTTTGGAAGACTTTATTGACCTCAAGGAAGAAGATAAAGACGAGAAGAAGGAGGAGGAAGAGAAGCGGAGGCGGTATTGCAAGATACCGAAGTCCTTTGGTAACTGGTTAAGGGCGTTCTGTGTCCTGGCCAGCGTGATAGGGGAGAAATCGCTGAGTTCCTGCTCATCCCTGTTTTGCTACTTGGACGGGATTTGGGAAGCGTACCGCACCTATGGCGGACTGGCCTGGTGGCGGTATGATGAGCAGTTCCGGCAGCGGTTGGCGGCCAATCCGGGTATGAGGTGGGACCACATGGACCTGCCTCTCTGGACGAAGCTGATGATGGCGCAGAAGGCGCAGCCCTTTCAGCACGCGGCTGGCGCAAAGGGTCAGTTCACCTCATCGGCCGCCTTGCAGAAGGGCTTATGCTGGCTTTTCAATGAAGGTCAGTGCAAGTGGGGTGCTTCCTGTCACTTTAAGCACGAATGCTCAGGCTGAGGGGGGGCCCACTGGGTGGCAACGATGCTTTAAGAAAGGAAAGTCGGGGGGAGCCGGAACTC